GGGGCGTGTCTTGTGGGGATGGGCGGGTCTTATTGAGCAGGACAGGGGCGTGTCTTGTCATAATAGTGGTGTGTCTTGTTTTATACGACAGGGGGTGTGTCTTGTTAAGCAGGACAGGGGCTTGTCTTACTATATAGGACATGGGTGTGTCTAGTTAAATATGACAGGGGGGGGGGGGGGGATCTTGTTAAATAGGACAAGAGCGTGTCTTGTTAAATAGGACAGTGGTGTGTGTCTTGTTGAATGAGGCATGGGCGTGTCTTGCTAAATAGAACAGTGGTGTGTTTTTTTTATAGGACATGGGCGTGTCAAGTTAAATTTCACGGGGGTGTGTTTTATTAAATAAGACATGGGGCTTGTCTTTTAAATATGACAGGAGGGTGCGTCTTGTTAAAATATAGAACAGGGGGGTTTTGCCAAATAGGACAGGGGTGTGTCTTGTCAAATAGGACAGGGGTGTGTCTTGTTATATGAGACATTGGCTTGTCTTGTTAAATAAGGCAGGGGTGTGTCTTGTTAAATGAGACAATGGCTTGTCTTTGTTAATAAGACAAGGGGTGTGTCTTGTTAAATGAGACAATGGCTTGTCTTTGTAAATAAGACAGGGGGTGTGTCTTGTCAAATAGGAGAGGGAATGTGTTTTAATAAATAGGACAGTGGGCGTGTCTTGGACAGGGGTGTGTCTTTTTAAATAGGACAGGGGGCGTGTCTTGGACAGGGGTGTGTCTTTTTAAATAGGACAGGGGTGTCGAAGAAGAACGTCAGTTTCTTTGATTTTTTTGTTTTAAAGAGTGCCTGATTTCACCACGAAGCCTTACATAATATCTCTTTAAGACAGGGGCATGACTACATCCCAAGTGAAGGCTGTTGGACCTATGTTTGATACTTGTGATACTGTTATTGCTGGTTTTATTGGGGGTGGTCCACACTGTTGTTAACTGTAGCTCAATTCTGTTCCTTCCAGGACTATCTTTTGATATTTCAAGATGTTTCTTGAGCATTATATCTATCTTCATCTCATTGTTGCTCATCTCTGTTAAACTAGATGCATTTTTGGCCTCTCGGAGGCTCACATATCATCGGAAAGTTGTCCAAGTGTACATAGTCTATAGAAAATATTTTTTTCAGAAGAAACCCCCTAAAAATGTTTTATTCTTTTAGTAATTGATCCGAATTTCTGTATCTTTTTAGTCTTCTTCAATGTTTAGAATTGGATTATTATTGTATTATTGGTGTCACGAAAAGATATATTGATTATTGTATTATTGACGTCACAAAATGACATTTTGTTGCGTTCTTGGTGTCAGAAAATGACATATGTTGTTGACGTCTCAAAATGACTACATCTATTAACCCTGTCCGTACGCCGTGGGGTCATGTTGTACCCCCGGGGTTGTATTCTTCACTTTTTAGAATAGTTCTAAAACGAAGATCTCTTTCAAACTTTCAGTATTTCTTAAAAAATCATTTTGACAGAAT